AACAAATTATGATGTAAAGAAAACATACATTTAAATATATAAATTTATTTATCTATAAAGGATTTAATAGGGTCATTCTATAGGTCTCATAAGCTATTAAATTCCTCAGTCTCTCATATTCTACTGTATTCATTCAACAAATATTTACTGCACACTTTCTGTACACCAGGCCCTCTTCTAGGTAGACCTTGAGGGTTTTGGGGACTATGTTCCTAGCAATTTTAGAGAACGTATAACCATATGATCTCACTCAAATCCTGGCATTTAATAGTCATGTGTTCTAACCCCCATCACTAGTATTAGCATGAAATCCTCTGAAGTTTGGGACATTTAATTCAAGAAGCACTCAGCTGACAGGTGTGAGGTGCTGGAGAACGAGCCAACTGCTGCCTGTTGTGGTTCCAAGTTTTTATTTTCTGATCAGTGTCACCATTTCCTGAACACTCTGTGTAGGCTTGACAGAAAATAATAATAGAAAGAGACTCGAGTGGAAAAACTAGTAAAAATTTCATTCATTACAGACCTTTTTTTGGAGGTAAAATGGAATTGCAGCCAAAATCAGTGATCTTCACCACCATTCTACTGTCCACTACGCAGTTGGTGGATTTCAGGCGACCGTGGACTTCTGTCTTACTGGAGTGCAGGTATGACATCCCCTGGAATTGTTCAGATGATGGGAAAACGAGATGCAACACACAATCAATAACGCTGGATTACTTTTAAGAAAGAAGTGACATTTTGAAACAGTTTTAGCATATAGTCACATCATTAGATTTTAAGTTTAGTTTCATTGATCTTACTTTAAAAATATTGTTAAAGCCCTGATATTTGACTACGCACTGTATCTAGTTTTGAAGCCTATTTAGGAGACAGTGTGAAAAAGGCAATCGTCTAAAGACTTTGGTTAAGTAGTTATATATAATATGAGGCTAAGGTTGATTTTTTTGTTGTTGTTGTTTGTGCTTATCACTTATTTGATCTGTGACCCTGGGTAGGTCTCTGGTCTGCTACCTCCATTTCAAAACGTAAATAATAAGGTCTTGCCTTTCTGAAGGGAGGGGCTAGACTAGTTAATTTTGTAAAATCGAATTGGTTTCATTGTCTTTTGACACAGAATGTTTCCTGCATTCTGAAAGGAGAGCCTGTTTTTGGCTGGTGTGCTTCTCCCTGGTGGCCAGAGGGTCACAGCCGAAACTGGTTTTTACCCTGGATCCGGACCGGGGGCGCCTTGCTCAGCCAGTGAGAGGGAACCGGTCTGTATGTGGGATCCGAACCCTAGGGCGGAAGGGCCGCCGCGCTTCCCAAGCAGTGCACTATCCAGTGCGCCACCGGGCCGGCCCAAGGTTTCATTGTCTTTTGACACAGAATGTTTCCTGCATTCTGAAAGGAGAGCCTGTTTTTGGNCCCCCGTACCGGACCGGGGGCGCCTTGCTCAGCCAGTGAGAGGGAACCGGTCTGTATGTGGGATCCGAACCCTAGGGCGGAAGGGCCGCCGCGCTTCCCAAGCAGTGCACTATCCAGTGCGCCACCGGGCCGGCCCAAGGTTTCATTGTCTTTTGACACAGAATGTTTCCTGCATTCTGAAAGGAGAGCCTGTTTTTGGCTGGTGTGCTTCTCCCTGGTGGCCAGAGGGTCACAGCCGAAACTGGTTTTTACCCTGGATCACAGGAGTGAAATGTGAGTGACAGACAGGTTATTGTAACATTTTTCGGGACTGATTCTGATCCTACATGACTTTCAGGCAATTTAAGATTTTCAAACACTCTCTCCTGAGACCAACTTTTCTTCATTCTTGAATGAGGCCCTCGTTCGTGGTGTCCGCTTCCATTTTCATATCATTTCCGGGAATATACACATCTACGTTTATTATTGTTTTGTCAAGAGGGTCGCCTGTACTTAATGTTCTGTCTTATGAAACTGAGGATTCAGTTGTCTTCCCTACAGTTATGTATGATCTTGATTTTTGGCAAATCTGTGAAAACTTTTGTCCATCTTAGTCCGTTTTCTGTTGCTTATAATAGAACATGTGAAAATAGGTAATTTATAAAGAAACAAAATTTATTTCCTACAGTTTCTGTAGGCGGAGAAGTACAAGGCCATGGGGCCACATCTGGTGAGGGCATTCTTCCTGGTGGGGACTCTCTGCAAAGTCCTGAGGTGGTGCAGGGTATCACGTGGCGAGGGGGCAGGAGCATGCTCACGTGGTCTTTCCTTTATCAGTCTATTTTCTTGATAACCCCCAGCCTATTAATCCATTAAGCCATGAGTGGATGAATCCATTCATGAGCAGAGCCTTCATGATTCACTCTCCTCTTAAAGCTCTCACCTTTCAAATAGGATAGTCGGATTTCCCACCCTCTTAATACTGTTAAAATGGAGATTTAGTTTCAACATGAGATTTGGAAAGGACATTCAAACCATAGCAGTGCCCCACTACCAGAATAAAAGGAATATAATAAAAATAATAATCCATATATATTGGACATTTACTTGTACCAGGCCTTGTAGTAAGCACATGCATTATTTCATAAAATTCTCACAAAAACCTGGTGACATAGCTACTACTGTAATTTTACAGGTGAAGAAACCAGTGCACAGAGAAGTTGAATAACTTGCTAGATCTGTTTTCCTATATTTATTTTTCATAAATGTTTATTGGGTTTGTGGGTCTCTTACCTTAGCAATGTCATACAAGACAGAGATCTTAAACTCCCAATCCA